TGCTGTACCCCACCTCCCCGCACCCCTCTGCTCGTCCCTGCCCCGTTTCCTGCAGCTCCCGGTGCGGGTCAGCCCTGCGGGAACACGGTCCTGAGCACAGACCGGCCCTGGGATCTCCACCGGGCTCCACACGCCAGCTGCCACAGGACAAGTGTTCGGGATTTTCACAAAGCCAATAATTTTGGGAAGGGCACAGAGCGCTGCCGACCAGCGTGTGAATACGTGGCCTCCCGCTCGACACGGTGCAAAGCCCGTGTGCCTGCGCAGCCCCCAGCGAGGATGTGCAACGACCTCCCACCAAGCCCCGGCGCGGGAGAAGCTCTTCTTGTGAAACTGGATGGAAAAAAAAAGGAAGCGGGTCCTTCTGAGACGCACTGCTCCATGCACGGCGTGGCTAACCCGTAAGACAAATTACCCTGAACAGCGCATCCGAGTGCTTCCCGGCTCGGTTCCTGGCTTCAGCAGCCCAGCTGCGAGCCCTGGGTCCTCTGCTGCCGTTTACATGTGCAAACACCGGGCCACCGAGGGCTGCCTCTGCTCACCGTCCTTCCTCTGCACGTTGTCCTTCCTCTGCATGCCACCCTTCCTCTGCATGCCACCCAGCCGCGCTGGCCTGCAGCCCAGGAGAGCTGGGGGGGACCGAGTGGCTCTCCCACCCCCCTTGCAGCGTATCCGGGCACAGCCGCTGCCAGAAATGATCCACCCCCTGCACCGAGCAGGAACCGGAGCACTGGAAAATCCCCAGCTGCTCCTCCCTGCCCCGCCACAGCAGCCTGCGATGCCAGCGGCTCCGGAGCCGTCGAGCCGGTGGTCATTCCTCCCCGGAGAAGCCCCTCGACGCCGCAGCCACGTGCGGGTTTCCCCGCGCTCGGTTTGGGCTCACTGGCTTGGGAAGGCGCGATGGGAACCAGCCGCTTGCTTAACTTCCGAGCGCCGTGGATTGAGCAACGCTCTGCAGCTACCGGCGGTTCCCGTCGGCAGACCCTGCGAGGGGGTGTGGGGTGTGGGGTCCTCAGCCAGGCCTGCCACCCGCTGCACGGCTCCTACGGGCACGGCCAGCCCCCCCGGCTCCTGCCTGCACCCGCACTGCGAGGCCAGCACAAAAGGACGGACTGGGGCTGAAAATGGGGTAAAAAAAAAAAAAAAAAAAAAGGCAAAGCATTGTTCACCTTTCGATAGGATTTGAGGAGAATCCCTGTGATACTGGAGGCAGACAGGGCTTTAGGAGAACTGCACACACTAAAGGCTTGCAAAATGGTACAAAACAAAGCAGGCAGAGGACAGCACAGCAAGCTTCTCCTGCCTGTGCTCGGAGGGCTGTGAAATCCAAAGTGAAACACGCTCTGCTGAGGCACGAGGCTGAGGCTTCTTCCTAAAGGCATCACAAATTCGTCAGAAGACGCATCTGTACAGTGCCAAATAAAACAACCTGCTGGGTGTTTGTTTTCTCGCTCCAAAAACGTTCTCGACAGTCACTGCATTTTACAGCGCTCCTGCCATCCTGCACATCCCCTGAAGGCTCAGCGTAAGCGTAATGCAAACTGCCTTTGGAAGTATCTTCCTAAAATAGTGACAGAAATTACTAATACGGTTTTTAAAACCTACAGGCAGAGAATGGCAGCAGCACGAGCCTGCCCATCCTGGTGAGCCCACCAGTGAACTGTGTCCTGCGGGGACCCACAGCAGCTCCCGCCTCCATGTCCCCACTTGGGATGTCTCGCCAGCGCGGGTGTGAGGGCATCATTCCACCCCTACCCCGCTGCAGCCGTGCCCCCCGGCACCGGCTCCAGGTGATGCCGGGAAGGACCCGCACGGTGCCGTGCCCAGCTCAGTGGGGGAACACGGTTCTGCTCGCCCCGGGCCACCAAACATCAAGGCACGGACGCTGGCTCTCCTGGCCGGGTCCCAGCAGCGACGCGCCGGTGTTCTGGGAAACGCGGGGCTGCGGGCAGGCGCTGCTCCCCCCCCCCCCCCCCCCCCCGAGCACAGAAGCCCCTCGCAGGAATGGAGAGAGCTCAGCTCTGGACCTAAACACCCGGCTGCTGGGTGGGCGTTCATCGGTGCAGCGGCGAGATCCACCAGCCCCTTCCTCGAACTGCCCCTCCCCGGTCCCACGCACGGACCGTGGGGTGGTTATGGAGGTCGGTGCTGGAAATTCCACCCCCCACCCCCCCACTCCCCCTAATTTCAGGGGCTGCCTCCCCCCCCCCCCGCGGGAGCACCCTGCAGACCCTCGGCTCTCCGCGGGCAGCCCAGCGCGTCCACTCCCACCCGGTGCCACACGCGGGCAGCCGCCGAGCGCGAGCCCGCGGGCAGGCACGCTGCTACAAAACCCCCGCCTGGAAGAAACGTCGCAACCTGCGTTGGCGCTTGACAAGCTCCCCACGAGCACACTGCAGCATTCCCAGAAAAGCAACGTCAAATTTGGAAAACCTGCTAGCACGAATCGTGTTAATATCTCTCCGCTCACCCTTGCTCGGCACCCGAGCCTGAGAGCACAGCGCAGCTGTGCGAAGGGGAGACTCGCCGCCCGGATATTAAGTACAAGCAGCTGGTGGAGCCAGGCTCTGCCTCACAGAGGAAGACGTGTGAAGGGGTTTCAAGCTGAGAGATGTTTTTTGGACAGAGCCCGAGCATGCAAACAAACACAGCGAGGGACAGAACAAAGGCCTGTGCGATGCAAACCGTACCCTTCCCATGGAAGACGGCGGCCCAGCTCGCGCTGCCGGCCACGCCAGGGGCCACGACTCCGGCCACGAGTCCTGAGGAACTTGAACTTGCTACGAAAATAGCATGGATGTCACCATGCAGCACCGCAGGGCAAGGGCCTGGCACCAGCTGGGCACCGCAGGGAGACTGTCGGTGTTTTGGGCGGGCTGCGAGGCCCTGGCGCAGCCGCTTGGGAGCCCGTCTGCACCCCCCCCCCGGCTCAGGGACCCGCACCCCGAAGCCACCCGACAGGAGCTGAAGCTGCCGCCAAATCCTTCTGTCCCAAAAGTTGAGGCTGATGCTGATCAAGACCCGTGGGTGCAGGCAGCGGCACCCCGAGCCCAGCCCTGGGTGCCCGGGCGGACGGACAGACGGACAGCCCCGGCCAGGGGGTCCCTCCTGATGGGTGGCGTGCCCGAGACTGCTGTGCTGCGCGGTGATGGAGAGCACGGGCTGGTGCTGGGGAGACTGGGGCTGAGGGGAGCGTGCTGGAAGGCAGGAAAGAGGGGAAAAAGGTACGTGGAGCACCCCGTGCCCAGCACCCACCACCCCTGGAGCCATGTCGCTGAGCACCCTGCGCTGAGCACCCAGCATTCTGCGTCACGCGCTGAGCACCCTGCACTGAGCACCCTGCACCGCATGCTGAGGACCCTGTGCTGAGCACCCTTCATCGCGCGCTGAGCACCCTGAACCACACGCTGAGCACCCTGAACTGAGCACCGGAGCACCAGCAGCACAAGCCATGCACCCAGCACCGAGCACCCTGCACCACCATGTCGAGCAGCCTGTGCTGAGCACCCTGCGCTGAGCACCCTGTAACCACACGTCAAGCACCCTGTGCTGAGCACCCTGCGCAGAGCACCCTGAACCGAGCACCTGCGCACAAGCCAGCACCGCAGGAGCAACTGCCGCACATGCCCATCACCCTGCGCTGAGCCCCTTCCACCCCTATGCTGAGCACCCTGCACTGAGCCCCCTTCCCACATGCTGAGCACCTGCGCTGAGCAACCCTTCACCACATGCTGAGCACACACTGCGCTGAGCACCCTTCACCACAGTGCTGAGCACCCTGCGCTGAAGCACCCTTCACCACATGCTGAGCACCCTGCGCTGAGCACCCTTCACCACATGCTGAGCACCCTGCGCTGAGCACCTTCACCACATGCTGAGCACCCTGCGCTGAGCACCCTTCACCACATGCTGAGCACCCTGCGCTGAGCAACTTCACCACATGCTGAGCACCCTGCGCTGAGCACCTTCACCACATGCTGAACACCCTGCGCTGAGCACCCTTCACCACATGCTGAGCACCCTGCGCTGAGCACCCTTCACCACATGCTGAGCACCCTGCGCTGAGCACCCTTCACCACATGCTGAGCACCCTGCGCTGAGCACCCTTCACCACATGCTGAGCACCCTGCGCTGAGCACCCTTCACCACATGCTGAGCACCCTGCGCTGAGCACCCTTCACCACATGCTGAGCACCCTGCGCTGAGCACCCTTCACCACATGCTGAGCACCCTGCGCTGAGCACCTTGCGCCGAGCACCCGGCACCCCGCACCACACACTGTGCACCCCGCGCTGAGCACCCTGAACCGAGCACCCTGCGCTGAGCGCTGAGCACCCTGAACTGAGCACCCAGCACTGACCACCGAGCACCCCGCACCACACGCCACGCACGCCGCACCGAGCACCCCGTGCGCCCTGCATCCCGTGCGCCTCCCACGCACGGAGCACCCAGCATCCCACGCCGACCCGCCGCTGTCACCTGCCGCCGTGGGGACACGAAGCCCCCGCCGTGCCGATCCCGGTCCCGATTCCACCCCCCCCACTCACCGGGGCCGCCGCCGGCCCGGAGCGGCGCGAGACGCGGCGACGTCACGCGCACGAGGGGCCGGGATCCCCGCGTCGCGCGCCGCCCCGCCGCGCATGCGCCCCCGCCGCCGGCACCGGGTGCGGGGCCGTCACGGACACGCGTGTACCCGCACCGGGGTTGGGAGGGGGGCGTGGGTACGTGTCTGTGCCCGGGACACGCGTGCCGTGACCGTGACTTTCCATCACCCCGCAGGGTCCCAGGCCGGGCAGGGCCCACGGCTGCAGTGATCGCCCCCGCCCCCCAACCCCCGCTAATTTTGCTAATTAGCAAAGCGGGAGCGGAGGGAGATGCCGCGCGGGGGGAAAGGGGGGAGGAGGGGAAGCGCCTGGCCGGGAGCGACAGATCCCGAGGGCGGGGGAAAGAAACTCCTTGAAAGTGAATAGGTCTTTGATTGACTGCAATTACTGCTGTTAATTACTTCCTGCTCAGGTGGACCTCACCGCGTGCCGCTCACCCCTTGGCGCGTATCCATCGGCTGCCCCCCACAGAGCCATCAGCCCCCCCCCCCCCCCAGTCCCAGGGTGCTTTGAGCCCCCCAGGCTGGAGGAGTCTCTTGTCCCCCTCTTCCCATGCCTGAGCCTGTGGGGCTCCCTTCTACCCCCTTACAGCCCCGGTCGGTTTTGGGGGAGGGGGGGTCCTGCCTGGGATCGATTCCCCTGGGAAAATCCCCCCCCCGCCACGTCCCACCCGGCTCCCAGAGGCTCGGGCAGGATGGAAAAGCAGGGCGCAGAGTGTCCGTGTCCCGTCCCCCCCCCGTCCCCCACCCGCCACTCCACGCTCGTGCACCACCGACTCCCGAGCAGCTCTAATCTTCTGTTTTTTTTTTTTTTTAATTTGCCTCACAAGGTAGAGTACATCCAGGGAATGTGCAATGTACAAGGAAAGTGCTGAGCAGGGGAGGCGGGGGTGCCCCACGGGGCGCAGGACTCGCAGCTAGCAGGTGACACGCTCAGTCGGAGGGTGCGTCCGGGGTGACGAAGGTGCCCTTCTGGTCCCACTGCATGTCCCGGATGCGGCGGATGGACTGGATCTGGGGCTGGAAGGCAGACCACTCGTTCCAGTGTCGGAAGTCTCCGGTCTCAAAGAGGTACTGGTAGCCTCTGTAGCCAGGGTACTGGTACCCGACCCAGCTGCAGGGAAAGCAAACAGAGGGCACCTGAGCGGGGTCGGAGCGTGGCCGGGGGAGCTGGCAGAGCCCCCCCTGCCTCCTGGGTGCTGGGTGCAACCCGTGGGCGATGGGCTGCACCACCAAAACCAGCCGTACGGCCCTTTCTGGCTGCCCAAGAGCCCCATATGGGCGCTCAGGATCAGTGGGCAGCGAGCCGGGGCGTGGGGGAGGACGGGGAGCCTGGCAGAAGGCAGTTGCAGCCCAGCTTACGTTCCACTGGGCACCTGCACGCTGCCCACACGGTCGCAGAAGCCGTAAGCCCAGAGGCTGGGCACGTCATCCTCCTGGATTTCCATCTTGTTGCCCTTGAAGTCAGCAGACTCGTACAGGGAGATTTTGTGGTCCTCAGCCTCCTGGGGAAGACAGAGGGAAGGCACCGGGTTGCGCGGCTGAAGCCCTGGAGCTTGCTGCAGCGAGGCATCAAGTGGCACGGCTCCGGCCCCCGCTGGGTGTTTTCTGCTCCTGGAGCACTCACCATTTTGATGGGACGCATGGACATGAAGCAGTCGCTCCGGTAGCTGCTAGACCAGGTGTCCCAGCGAGGGTACTCGCCCTTCTCCAGGATGAACATCTCCCCACGCATGTTGGCCTGTTCGTAGGCCACCCAGCTGGGGAGAGGGGAAGGATAAGACGGCGGGTCAGATGCCACCCAGCAGCTCCTCTCCTGCTCTGCCAGCCTGCAGGGTGCCGGCGCCGGGCTCCCAGCACCCAAAAAGGCTGCGGGTGTCAGAGAGGGCCCCACTATCCTGCTTCCACCTTTCTCAGAGCACTACAGCACACGTGGAGCTTGTAGCTGGTGTGAAGCCCTGAGCGCACAGGCAGAAGCAGCGTGCTCACAGTGCTCCCCCCTCCTCGGCCAGGGGAGCAGTGGGACCTCGAGGCAGCTGCACACCGGACACTCATCCTTGCCTTATCCCAGGACTTGGACTGTTTTCCCTCTTGCACCACAGAGCCCCGGCCAGGGCTGCCTGGGCTCTCTAATCCTGGCACGCTTGCGGGCTTCACTGCGCCAGCTTCATCCCGCTCTGCATTCATCCCATCACCGGGGCGCGGGCGCTCAGGGCTTATTCAGCTGCAAAGTCACCTCTTCAGCAATGCCGCGAGGTGCTGCGGTGCTGTGCGTGTCACAGGCTCAGGGCTCCAATAGCCCCCGGCGCCACAATAGCCCTGCTTGTGCTGCTGGTTTTCCCTAAGTAAATTCTGGGGCACAAAGTCTCACCAGTGACTTTCAAGAAGACTCTGAGGATTGAGGACCTCGGTGACAGATCAGTTCTCTGTTCTCCCAGTTTCACCCTTTCTACATCTAGTGCAGCTGCCCACGCGTCACAACTGAGCTCCTTCGGGGTTGCTCCATCCCCTTTTTGTTTCAAAAATAGTTGGATATTCTGGCTTCCTAATAAAAAGTTGTCATCGGTGCCACATGGTGTCATTCCAGGTGCTGTCAGGGCAAGCCGTGTCCCATGCATCCTGCCACGGCACTGCCAGCCCCCCCCGGCTGTCCCGTGGTTGCTGGGAGATGCTCTTTCAACACAAAGATCATCTGCCTGTGCAGTTATCATCTAGTTTGGCGATCATTTTTGTCCCTGCCTGTGTCAGCTGTTCCCGTGGCTCTCGGTCATTCCCAGCCCCTTTATCGCTGCTCAGCTGCCAGGGCAGGTGTGGGGGGTTGCCTGCCTGCACCCCCTTCCCACTCCAGACTTGTCTCCACAGCAGCCCCAGCCCAGTTCAGCGCACCCACCTCGCTTCCCTTTGGCTTCCCTAAAATCTACAGGTCTCTTGCATTTTGTGGACGTCAGGCAGCGGATCCGATGGACACCTTTGGCTTTGCCTCTCCTGCCCTTTGCTTTACGAATGGCCCTGACATCCCCGAAGGTGACCCGGGGTCCCCAGCTCTGCTCCCCGCTCTGCCCAGGCTGCAGGGAAATGCCCCTGCACGTCACGCTGCTCCCCAGGACTGTGTCCCCACCTCCCCGGGGCATCCCCAGGGACACGGTCCCCTCCGTGGCTGGGGTCACTTACGGTCCAGAGGTGACGATGACACTGCGCACCCGGTCGAAGCCGCGGTCCCCCAGGTTCAGGCACTCGGTGGTGAACTCCATCTGCCTGCCCTGGAAGTTCTCCTGATCGAAGACGACAATCTGGGAGCAGAGAGAAAGGGTTGGAGAGGGACAAGCGTGCTTGGGGAGGTCAGGGCAGTGCTGTGTGTCCCTGCACGGACCCTGCACAAGCCCACTGCCCCACGCGTCCCCCTCAGCTCTCCAGGGCTCCCCACAGCTTTTCAGGTCTGGTGCCCACCCGGGCAAGCTAAGCTGGGCTCTGAGCTTGAGCAGCCCCATCCCAGCACGGGCTGAGCACAGGGAGATCCCCTCCTGACAGCCATCCCCACGGTGACACGGCCTCATCCTGCCCGTGGTTTTGCTGCTGCAAAGTCATGTCTCCCTGTGCCGGTGCCGACGTCGGGCCCCAGCCAGGCTGGGGAGGAGCTGCTTCTCCAGGAGCTGCATCCGCGCCGTGGCCTTCACTGCTTGGCATGTGCAAAGTGTCACCGGAGCCCTCGCATCACTCACCTCTTGTCCCCAGCTCCACTGCAGCACCTCGGTGGCACACTGCCCTGGCGTCACCATGGCGTTTCGGTGCTGGCCCTGTCACCCACAGCCTCCTCCTCCACCGCTCCCCCCCCCCCCCCCCCAAGGAGGGTGACTGGAGGGAGTGGGTGGCAGCACCCAGCCCTGTTGCTATAACCCAGGGGAGAGCATTTCCAAAGCCTGGGGTCCCCAACGAGCCGTCCCGGACACCCGGAGCATCCCTCCTGCAGCAGCCCTGCAAGCAGCTGCCCAAATCCTGCATGGAGAGAGCTGCTGCCCCGGGGGGAGACGCAGCGGGGAGGGCTGGCACCATCCACACTCTGCTGCTGATGGCCCCGGAGATGCCATCGCCATCCCTCACCCCCAGACCACGTCCCTGCCTGTGAGGGGCAGCAGGGCTTACCCTGAAGGCTTCTGTGGAGGGCTCCTCGCCCTTGCTGTTTGCGACGGGAGCAGGGTCAAGGGATGGAGTTGGCACTGGGGCTGCCTTCTCCTTCTCCTCCGCAGCCTGGCCGGGAGCAGCGGGTTTTGTGGTCTCAGACATCGTGGTGTTGGCCTCAAGTCTGGGACAGGGCACCAGGCAGAGATGCCAGCAGTAGGTTAGAGGGAGATGCATGGCCATGGGCACCCACTACCCACCCCAGCCCTCACCCCTGCCCCGGGGGTGGTGGCATTGGGCTGGGGGGGCTCAGCAATGGGGTGGGCGGCTGGGAGGTTCTCTAGGCAGGCACAGGCAGCGGGGTTCTGACTTCACCAGGAGGACTGCGGAGGGTCCCACACTCTCCTTCTGTAGCCAGGAGAGCCCTGAGCGAGGTCCCACCGCTGCAGGGGTGCCAGGGGCAGCCCCAAACACAGGTGCCCAGCCAATCCCTGCTCTCCTCAGCCGGGCTGGGGCCTGACGCTGCGCTGGGTGCTGGGGCCGTCCCACATGGGGTTGTGCCTGGGAGCCCGGCTGAGCACCGGGGCAGCGTGTGAGGGGGTTGGGAAGGTGCCTGAAGCCCTCCGGTGCTCACTGGGGCCGGTGGCCCCACAGGCGAGTGTCACCAGCGGCTGCCAGGGGAGCAGAGGGCAGCGGGATACTGAGCACTGGGCGCTCCCAGAGGTGGTGGCCACAGCGGTGGTCACCCTCCGTTTCCCTCTCCCCCCCTCAGGTCCGGCTGCAGCCCGGTGCCCAGGGACTTTGTCCTCTTACCTGGGCAGCTGCTGCTTCTTGTTGGAGTGAGCGGGCTTGTGTTTCGGGGCGCAGCGAGGCCCCCACTTTATAGCCTGGCAAGGGCAGACCCCCAGGCGGGCGCACAAAGGAACTGCCAGCTCATCAGTGTCTGCGCGGCCGCCCAGTCATCACATCCTGCAAAGCGCTGGGCGAGCTGGAAGCCTCTCCCCGGCCCCGTGCCCAGCCGCTGAACCCAGCACTTTCCTTTGTGCCCGCGGCACAACAGAAGACCTGACCGTGCCACTTTGCAGCGCGCGGCAGCACCCGCGGCCCCGTGTGCGGCCGCCCCGACAGGGCATATATAGCCCTCGCATGGCCCGGCCGGAGCCGGCACGCCACCCTCCCCTGCCCACCGCCCCCAGTACCGGACCCACACGGGCTCCCAGTTCCAGTGCCGCTGCGGCCGGGGAGGCTGCACCAGCCCAGTGCCCCGTGGCCACACGCCGCCCGCCCCTACGGCTGCGCCGTGCTCGTTCCTCCCCTCCAAAAACCAAATCTCTGGCTTTAAACCTCACTCCGTACCCGCAAACACCTGAGTGAGCTGCCCTGAAGATGCCGGGATGCAAGACTTAGAAATGCTTTGAGTCGTTTTTTGTTTTGTTTTGTTTTGTTCTTTTTTTCACAAATGACATGTAATTGAAGCTGACACTTTCCAAACCATCTCAGCCCCTGAAAATGGTGTCCTTTGAGGATGTTGCTGCTCACTGTGTGGGCGTTAGCTAGTTTTCAGCCCATTTATAACCTGAGCTGTGCTCATTCTATACCACCCCTGGTTTTGCCACCTCCACGCTGCACGGTACCAAATCCCACGCAGGGTTGCGCATCCATGCTGTCTCTGGCCGCTGGCAGAAGCGGGGAGGGCTGCGGGGTGGGGACACGCTGGGCACCGGTCCCTGCGGTGGCTCAGCCTGTGATGCCACATCTCCTACACCCCACGGCTGCTCCCCGAACCAGGAGGCATTTTGGGGGGACCTTTCCCAACTCCCACCAAGCCCCCGATCCGCTGCTCTCCCTGTTTGCCTGCTGTGATCCTGCTCATCGTGTAAATACCTGCACAGTTGTTTCCTCCCAGTCTTTTCCAGTACCCCCAGCCTCCCACAGCATCCAGCACCAGCGCTCCTGGGCTGGCTTTTCACCACTGGCAGCATAAACCACCCGAGGCTGCGCGTTCAGAAAGCTGAGAGCCCTCAATTTTGCCGTCATCTTTTGTTCCCCTCAAGTGTGAAATGTCAACCAGCAGCAGTGGGATGCAGCTGCGCCCTCTGGGCTATTGCCCAAAATCCTGAACAAAAAGCATTTATTGATCCCTTCGTCTTTTCCCGGGGTTTTCTGGCGGGCTGCGCCGTGCCCGCCGGCGTGGCCGGGGGTGGGTGCTGCTGCCCTGACTCCCCTGGGCACTCCCCGCAGTCCGGTCTCTCACCTTAACACCGGGCAGCTTTTTGTGATTCACGGCTTTCAATTTGCATTCATTTTCATGTTTGTTAGACAGATTTCTATTTTAAGCTGCGTTCTCTTCCCCTCGGAGCTAGGGTGGGCTTTTTAACCGTGCTGCCTCCTGGGCATTACTCAGCAGGTCTCACCCACTCCCCAGCTTCTGCTGCCCTGCTCCTGGCTCCTTTCTCCCCCCACCTTTGAACTCGGGCGTTGGAAAACGGTGCTCGGAGGGACCGAGCTCAGCGCCAGGTAGCGGCTCTGCACGGCTTTGGCCGTTACTCTGAGGACTCAGCAGCCTGGTGATTTTTCCAGAGACGGTGCTGTGGAGGGGCTGGCAGCAGGGATCTGCCCTCGGCAGTTCCTGAGCCCCCCAGACACAACCCCCCTGCCCTCCCCACCGAGCATCCCTGCCGCTGACTGCGGGCGCTTTGGAAAGCCCCTCGCTGCTCCGTCCCACCCCAGAACGTGGGACGCACAGCTCAAACAGAGCGAAGCGTTGCCCAAGCCTCACCCCCGGTGCCGGTGGCTGGAGCTGACCCGCCTCAGCCCCGGCAGCCCCCGGCACAGCCACATGCCCAGCACGAAGGGTTTGTTCTGCCCCGGTAAATCCTGCAGCACACGGAGCTCCCGCTGCTGCGTCCCCTGCCCGGCGCTGAGCAGCACCGCGGGTGCTCCCAGCCGCAGCCCGGGCTCCCCACGGCCACGTCCCGGTGCTGGGGCACGTCCCGGAGAGCGGGTGAGCCGTGGTCACCCCGCTGGTGGCCGGCAGCAAGCTGAGTTTAGCTCAGGGCCACAGCGAGAGGCTGGGGGCAACTTGTGCCAAAGGCACATTTGTTGTGGGCTGCAGATGTTGGGGATGGCCAGCGCAGCCCCGCTGCAGCCAGGAGCAGCTCCCCCCCCCCACCGCGCTTTCCTGCTTTGCCTCCCCTGCAGCGCCCGGGGCTGCGGCTGCACGGAGGAGGATGCTGCAGCTCAGCCAACCGGCAGTTTCCCGGCAAAAGCTGTGCCAAAACGCAGCACAACCTGGGAATGTGGGTTTCACCACTCTGCCCGACAGCCTCCTTTCACTGCTCGCCCCTCTGACGGGCAGGCTCTGTGGGTGCCTCTGCAAGGTGCCCAGCCCTCAGAGCCCTGCACGCTCCCACCACAGTGGGATGACCAAGCACTGTTGCAATCAAAGACACATCTTTCCTCCTACTTCCCCAAAATTCGGGTGAGAAAACCTCCCCGTGCCTCCAGCCGAGGCACGGGGCAGGCAGGAGGAGCCCTGCCAGAGCTGGGGGTATGGTCCCAGCCCAGCCCCACACCGGGACAGGGCACGGGGCAGGAGTGCTGGGGGACACCAGGAGCAATGCTCCGGCTCTGGAGCCGTGGGGCCGGGGCTCACAGCCTGTGCCCGGTGGGCCAGGGGAGCAGGAGCCATGGCGTCCCGGCTCATCAGCTTCTCTGCAGCGTCGCCTTTGTTCTGCCCGGTCCCTCCTCCCCGCCATGTGCTGAGTTAGGGGTTTCAGTAATGCTCTCCTGGGCTCTGTCTCTATCTGGAGGCTATAAAAACCCAGCCGGAGGGCTGCTGGACATGTCACCTCCCCTGGGCACCAGCGCCTCACCCCAGGTAAGAGAGGGAGCCTGGTGGCAGTTGCCCCTGCCCACCATGGCTGGATCCTGGGAGCCGAGCTGCCGTGGGGACGTGTGGAGGAGGGTCCGAGGCCGCTGGCGTGGCGTGGCCGAGGGTTGCGGGGTCCCACAGCCGGGGCTTTGACTCGGGCATGGGCAGGCAGCGTGCTCACCCCGCTGCGGTGCTGCACGGCGCTGCCGGGAGGCTGGAGCGAGCCCCGTGGGGTTGGGCAGCTGCAGTCGCCTGCCTGCGCTGCCCGAAGCCCAGGCCCCGGCCATGGGGGTCCCCGGGGAAGGGCCGAGCCCCCCAGCACAGGGCTGCTGGGTCTGCCCAGCCTGCACTGGCCGGGCTCGCGGGGGCCAGCGATGCACCAGCCCTGGGACAGGCTTTACGGTCCCATTCCCCCGCAGAGCCACCATGACCCACAGCTGCAGGAGATCCTCCGGTCTCTGGAAGGTACAGGAGCCTGGGGAGGACTGGCGACGCAGCCTGAGCCCCGAGAACGCCCAGACATGGGGGTGCAGGGTCTGCTGGGGGCCTCTGCACCCACAGAGCCCCCTCCTGACCCGCTCTGTCCTCCCCAGATCGTGGTGTGGGATGAGGCTTTCTTCCAGGGCAAGAAGCACGAGTTCACCGCCGACTGCTACAGCACCCCGGAGCACGGCTTCAGCACCGTCCGCTCCTGCAAGATTGAGAGCGGGGCGTGAGTGGGGGTCACGAGGGGCTGCCACCCCCCAGGTGCTATAGGACCCCATGGACGGAGTGGGGGTTGGAGGACGCGTGGTCTCCAGTGCCTTTTGCCACCCTGAGCCACGGGGCTGCATCCTCCAGGGAATGGCCTCGTCCCCGTGGGGTGCAGCGGGCTCTGCTCCTGGCTGTGAGCGGGGTGGTGGGTGCTGCGGGGGTCTCACTCTCCCCCTCCCACTCCCCCCCTCTCCCCCTAGGTGGGCAGGCTTCGAGCACTGCGGCTTCCAGGGGCAGCAGTTTGTGCTGGAGCGCGGCGAGTACCCGTGCTGGGAGGCGTGGAGCGGCAGCAATGCCTACCACGTGGAGAGGATGTGCTCCTTCCGTCCCATCACCTGCGCCGTGAGTGCCACCACCCCAGCCCCCCCGCCACAGGGCTGGTCCCCGCAGCCCACCACTGGGCCGGGGGGGGCCAGGCAGGGAGGTCATGCCGACACCGTGCCCTTCTCGGCGGCAGGACCATGGGTGCAGCAGGCTGATGCTCTTCGAGCAGGAGAACTTCCAGGGCAAGCGGGGGGAGCTGAGCGACGACTGCCCCTCGCTGCCTGCCCTGGGCTGGGGCAGCAGCTCCGTGGGTTCCTTCCTCGTCCGCTCCGGCGCGTGAGTACCCTGGGGGCTCCGTGCCCTGCCAGGACCCCACGCCGGGCCGGGGGCACGCACCGGAGCTGAGGATGCTCTGGCAGCTGCCGGCACCCTGCCCGCAGCACCGGGTGCTTCGTGGGGCTGCCCCGGCCCTGAGCCACCAGCGCTCTCTGCTCTGCCACAGGTGGGTCTGCTCCCAGTACCCGGGGTACCGGGGCTTCCAGTACCTCCTGGAGAGCGACAGCCACGCGGGCGAGTACAAGCACGTGCGGGAGTGGGGCTCCCACGCGCAGACGGGCCAGGTCCAGTCCATCCGCAGGGTCCAGCAGTGACCGCCGGTGCTGGTGCCGGTGCCGGAGCCACCGGCCGCGCGCCCTGGGCACTGTCTCTCCCGTGGGGCGGCGGGGGCAAAGCTCAATAAAGGTTCAGTTGTCCAAGGCTGGCAGTTGGGGTGGGGGTGCCATGGGGGAGCGTGGCTGGGAGTGATGGCGTGCCCGAGGGCAGAGTGGGGGTTCTGCAGGGGTGAGGATGGGGGGTGAGGAGGGAGAAACAACCGTCCTTTTCTGCTCCTGCAGCCAGCACAAGGCACCCACACATCCCTGCTGCAGGTGGGTGAAGCCCCTGCCCTCGGCCCTGCTGCCAGCCCCCCGGGGAGCCACGGGGTCAGGCCCGGTGCAGGGGTGAGGAGCCGGGTGCTGAGCCAGCGGGAGCAGCCGTGCAGCCCTTGCACAGCACCCCACATCCCACCAGCGAGGACCGCGTCCATCCTGCCCCTGCACCAGCCCGGCTGCTGGTGCCGGGGCTCTGCAAGACCCGCATCCCCCCTGCTGCCCCACGGACCCCCCTCTGATCTGCCTGAACCTGCCGGGGGCGACGGGACTGGCTGCAGCTCCCGCACCCCTGCACACCCCAGCACCCATCCCTGCGCTCGTGCACACCCCGGCACCCACGCGCACCCCCCTGCACCCACCCCAGCTTGCAGCACCAGGCAGGGCCGTGTGCTGTCCCTGGAGCAGTGAGGTGACTGTGGCTGCAGGAAACTTAAGGCAGCAAGAAACCACCGGGGGCTGCTGATAAACCATCTTCAGCTCACCAGAAAGCGGCGGTTAACTGAAGATGAAAATGCGACAGGGAAAGGCTGGCTTGGAAAACAAAATTCTCATTTCAGAAGAGCTCTGGAGAAAAGGTTTTGACGTGATGAAAATGTCCCATTCCTGACATTTGCAGCAGAAGGACCACCATCGGAGGCAGTGCTGCCCAGGAAGGGATTCTCTCCGCAGGAAATCACAATTAAAAATGCAGAATGGAAGAAGGAACAAAAAGTTTTGGGATGGGCTGAGCAAAACCCTCCTGCTGCCCCAGGACAAACCCATCTGGGGCTGGCAGCCAGCAGGACCTGGAGGAGCGGAGCTTCCCAGCCCCTCCGTGGCCACGTCTGGTGGGGAGCCCGGTTGTGGCCAGCCCACCCCTGCTCAGTCCCAGAGCCCCGGGGGGGGGGCACAGGGGGGCTGGGAGTGGGGCCAGCACACAGCCAGGCACGGCAGGCATGCTGGCAGGTGGGACTGGTGGGTCCCTGGGGACCTGGTGGGGACCTGGAAAACAATGCAAGGGCCCAGCAGCTGCAAAGAGCTGCAGAGGGGCCATGCCAACCCTCCCGGCCCCCGGGATGGGGGGCTGTCCCGCTGGGCAGTGTGCTGGCACGGTGGTCATGGACGTGTCCCCAGGCTGGGCTGGTCTCTGCCATCCCTTCGTCCCCACCGAGAGTGGCCAGATCCTGCACACAGTGTCCCCAAAGCCATTTGCCTGCAAGCTCTGCCTGCCCGGCAGCCCCCTGCCCCGTGTCCCCCACCCCACGGCCCCTGTGCCATCCCCACGGGTACGGGGTGCCCACGCCACCCCGTATGGCTGTGGGGACCCCATCCCACCACGGCGGGCCGGGGTCTTGGCAGGGTGGGGGGGCCACCGGTGGCTTTTGCAGCGCGGGAGCCGTGGCCCGGCTGCAGAGGGGTGGGCGTCCCTGGGGTCTGCTGCAGCAGGGAGCGGCGAGGGGCTGCGGGGAGTGCGGGGGGGCAGGGGGGTGTGCAGGGGCGGGGAAGGTGACTGGGCCGCATTTCCAGCATTAAAATTTAATGGGAGTTGCAGCATCCTCCTGCGCTGTAGGTAGGGCCGGGCGGGCCCGGCGGGGGCTGCGGGGAGGAGGAGTTTGCGTGGCAGTATCTTGCTCAGGGATGCTCTCGGGAAAGCTCCAGCACAAAGAGGCTGCAGGGCGGCCAGGAGCGTGCGGAGCCCGGCTGCCCCCAGCCCAGCCCTCCCCGGGAAAGCAGGTAAAGCCGCGCTTACATTCCTCTCTTCTATTTTCTGGCTGGATATGTGGCTCCTCGCCAGGTGCTGGTGGGGTCTGGGGGCGCAGCGGGAGGTCAGGCCACCCCCCACCTCGGGGTGGGATGCACGGACAGGAGTGGGGAGAGGTGCTGCCCGGGATACAGCTGGTCCTGCGGGCATCACTCCCAGAGGGGCTGCGGGTCTGGCGGGTGCTGCTGCTCCCTCCGCCTCGGTCTCCAAAAAACCCCCAAATCCTCCCCCCCCCCCCCCCCAATATATTCTTATTCCCCGGTTATAAATAATTCCCACGCGAAGCAACACGCAGCGGCAGGAGCCACCAACTTCTCCCAGGGGGTTCCCGGCTGGTGGCAGCCCAGGCCCCGTTCCCTTTGTTAGGGGCAGGAGCAGCAGCGGATCCGCAGCGCGGTCCCGGCCCAGCAAGCGATGCTGGGTCCAGCTGGAGGCACTGGGCCAGCCTGGCTCCCACTGGGCGCCGTCTGCAGCCCCCCCCCCCCCTCCCCCAAAGTTAATATTAACTGATGCACCACTTGTTTGTATTTTTTTTTTTTTTTCAGAAACCTCATCAAGAATAGGGCTCGAGACAGGTAAATGGATTCTTGCCTGATTTGCAATGCTGCTGGAAGGAAATGTAGCCAAAATGCTGGTTTACTTCTTTGTCTTGAAACCACCATTTTCTCCTAAACCTGGTGATCGTAGGTAGGGGGTTAGAGGAGAGGCTGGGGCCAGCACGGCTCCAGGGCACGTCAGCACAGCCCTTCCCCTGCAAAGCTTCGCCTGACAGATGCTGCCCGGGCTCCTTTTGGGGAGCCATTTTCTCGCCCTCATTGTCTCACCGCCTTTTGTGTGTGAGAGCACATCCTGCCCCGGGGAGCCAGGATGAGACAAGAAATAATCAGATTCTTCAGTCACTTCTGGGCTGGCAGGGAGGCTTTCTCACCATCCCCCCCCCCCCCTCCACACATACACACACACACATTTCTCCCAGGGCTGCCCAGCCCCGGGAGCTGCAGACAAAGGGAGGCAGCGCTGGCACGGCTGCGGCAGCAGCACCAGAGATCTGGGCTCTGCCGGGTGATGGTGAGGGATGGGCAGAGCTGGCAGGGCCGTGGGGAGGGCGCATCAGCCCATCCTGCCAGGAGCTGGGCGCTCGGGGGTGCTGCATTTCGGAGATCACCTCTCCGGGCACGGGCAGCAGAGCCGCCGGCATCGTGTCCTGCAGCCCTCACCTCACCCTGCTCCTGCAGAGCTGCTCTCCCCTCCAGCCTCCTCCTCACTCGAGGGGGGTTTTACCCCCCCATTTATCCCGGGTGCTCCTGGGTGCTCAGCCCCGGCGGCACCATATGTGTAGCAGGGCCAGCTGGAGCTCACGGCTGGCAACGGCCACTCGCCACGCACAAGATGAGCATTTGGACAAGCGCTGCCTGCACAAAATTGTTTTTCTTTCCCCCCCCCCCACCCCCCCCCCCCCATCTCCTGGGATATGCTTCTTTGCTGAGCGAGGGAGGCCATTCTGCAGCGGTCACCCCGTGCTGGCACATCCCGCCTGCCACCCCCCCCCCTCGGATCCGGGCAGGGGATCCTCTTGCCAGATGCTCGATGGCATCTCCGGTGCCTGGCGCTGTCCGGCCCCCCCCCCGCCGAGCCCGAGCCCGGTTCCCGCTGCCCACAGCTGGGTTGCAAATGCTGCCTGGACGTGCTGTCCCCATAGCGGGGGGGGGGGACACACACACGGACTGTCCCGCAGGCAGTGTCGGCAACGGGCAGCAGTGACCCGCGGGAAGCTGTAGCAGCTCCGCAGCTGAACTGCAGAGTCATCACAGCCCAGCTCGTGGCTTTTCCACGCAGGCAGCGTGGGAGGGAAGGGAGGGCGGGCAGCGTGGGAGGGAGGGAGGGGGGGCAGCGTGGGAGGGAGGGAGGGGGGGCGGGCAGCGTGGGCTGGCTGCTGGCCCCCGCCACAGCCAGTGAGTGACCCGGTTTAACTGCAGAGCAGAGGCGGCAGTGGCAGCACTGGCAGAGGCAGCGGTGGGAGGCTCTGCCTGGGTTCCTGCCTGCCCTGCCCTGCCTGCCCCTCCTGCCGGGGTCCCCCCCGATGCACCCCCCCCGGCTCGGCTCGGTTCGACTCGGCTCCGCTCTGCCCGGGGCCGCCGGCGCCGCTTTGCTCTCCCTTGCTGCGTTGGTTGCTTTCTTTTGCAGCTGCTAATGACTGACCTGAGGTCTGTTCACACGCAGTCCCCTGCGCGCCCGCGGCGGTGGAACAGCCAGACAAGGATGGGGGGGGACATTGCACAGCACTCGCGTAGCCGGTGACCGCAGGTAGGACCCCCCGGGGAGGGGGGACGCGGATGGTGCCAGCCCCATGCCCTCCCCACCCCTCGTGATGCAGGAGGGCTCGGGGCACCGGGAGCCAGCCTTCCTCCCCAGGGTCCCATCCCCTCACGGGGTCTCCCTGGGCTCCAGCGGGGTCCGTGGGGTTACACCGTCCCCAGGGCCACCTGCATGAGGGGATACGTCTCCCACCCGTGCCCAGTGGTGGGGAGGGGGCGGCCACCGGGCTGCCCAGGGTCTCACAGCATCTCTGCTCCCCAGGGGCACAGCCCCAGCTCCTGCCTGGCCATCCCGGCCGTGCCCGCAGGGGAGCCGGGGCTCGGGGAGCCGCCGTCGCTGCCTGCACACGGATGCCGGAGCCGGTGCCGGCTGCCACGGGCCGGAGCCGCAGGCCCGGCTGCTGCGGGGGACACGGCCGAAGAGACGGCGGGGGTGACACCTGAGGACACGGGTCTGCGTGCGCGCGCGGTTTTCCCGCAAGGTGCTGGGGATCCCTTCCCTCCCGCTGCTCCATCCCGGCCAGACCCTGCGCGTGGGTCTCGCCATGTGCCCCCCCCCCCCCCCCCCAGCAATGGGCAGGGCACGGGCAGGATGAGACCCGTCCCCTTTGCTGAATGCAGTGTAGGAGGAGGGAGAAGGGGACAGGGACGGGAGCAGAGCTGTGCCAGCTCCTCAAGGAGACGCCATGGCCAGATCCCAAAGGGTTGTCCCCACTGATCCTGCCTGTCCCTCTGTCTGTCAGCACAGTCCCAGTGCTTTCTGCTCTGGAAGTGCCACCGGTCCCCCGTCCCAGCAGGACCCTGCCTCTACTCTGCTTTCAGGAAACGCCTGGTTTGTGGAGCCATGGGGAGGGACACGGGCAGCGCATCCTCCTCCCGAGAAGCCTGTGGCATGGCCCCCGTGGGGCCGTGGGGGGCCAGCAGTGACCCCATGAGTGGGTGCGACCGTCACCCCGCTGCGCGCTCCAGCCAGTGTCCCCTGAGCAGGCGGGAGGGCTGGGCGTGCAGTGGGCTGGGGGCTGAGGCCAGACGCAGCTCGTGGCAGGCGTTACAGCCCCTACGAGTCCAAACTGGAGGAGCATCCTTGTTGGGGACCAGAGGGACCCCATGCTCCAGGAGGCGCCCCAGAGGAACACAGGGCGGGGGGTGCCCTAGGTGCCCCTTCCCAGCCTTATTCCTCAGGGCATGGTGCAGAACTCCTTGCTGCCCCTTGGCAAAATCAGCCCGGCTCCCCACGGAGGGGCCGCTCATGATGGGGAGGGGAGAAGCTACCGGCACCTTTCCTCTGCTCCCATCTCCCCTCTCCACGGGCAGTGGGAGCTCGGTGGAGAGCCAGAGCAGCCGTCACTGCCTCGGCAGAAGCCCTGCGCTCGCAGAGCTGGCCGTAGCCTTGCCCCAGGCACCGCCAGCGATGCTTTCACCCCTTCCCTCTCTCTGCTTCTTCCAGCTCCTTTAGCACCCCGACCCTGGAGCCTTCCAATGCCAACTTCACAGTCCGGCACTGCCGGGGTTGTCTCCTCCCTGCAGCCCGTCTCTCGTCTTCACTGGTACCGGGGGTGGCAAACACACCTTGCGTGGGGGCACACGCTGCTCGGGGCATTTTGTACCTCACCCGCATGGATGAAAGGGGCAGAGCCCTGCAAAGCATTTAGTTCAGAAAGCAGGTTACACGACGCCGGCTAACCCCTCAACTAACACCTTCCCAAATCTCAAGCTGGCGGCAAAGCCCCCCAAAGTGCTGGCTTGAAGCCCTGCTGCTGCCCTGAGAGCCGAGCAGACCCACCCCTGGGAAAGCGTTCCTCCACTGGCGGGGGGAGGGAACCAGGCCGGGCTCTGCATGCTGCCGCTGTGCTCCGATATTAACCTACTAACCCATGGGCCCCCTGTCCCCCTGCAATGGGGTTGGAGGGGGGGGGTGAGGGCTGCCGAAGCCCCTGGCAAACAAACTAACCCACTAACCGGCTCCAGCGCATGCCCTACTAACCGGCCTTGTCTCGCCTCCCACTAACCACGGGCAGCCAGCGCTGCCTTTAAAGGGGAACGGAAAAGCTGGGTAAGTAGGTCTGTAAGTGCCGGGTGCTGCCGCCTCGGTGCCAGGTTGCAGAGGCAGGGCCGGGCAGCGCCAGCCCCCGCAGCGGGCAGGAGGGGGGCCGGCAGCCCCTGCCCCGCGCCGCCACGGGCAGAGGGTTTCTCCCCGCGCGCCCTGCCCGGGTCCGCCTCTGGAGCCTGTTGCTGACTAGGAGCCTAAAACGGTTTTATCAGCAGAAGCTTTTCAGTTCCTTTTTAAGCCAGTAGATCTCTGTTACTAACACATTCCTGAACTGAATTAAACAAACTAACTGTTGCTGCTTTTCTCTTCATTTCTCTTCCAGTACGTATGTCCTCTAAGTCAGACCAATTGTGCCATGCTTCTGTTACTAACCGCCTGTACTAATCACTCCTGACTTGTTTCTCTATTGCTACTAACAAATACTCTTTGCACTTTAACTCTTGGATGCTATTCGCCATGACAAACGAACAGTGGCCCACTCTGGGACTCTTGGTCATTAACCTGCAGCAGCCCGATTTTTCAGTGCTGCTGAGCATCTTTGTCTCCCATTTGGTGCGATGGAAAGGAAGATGCTCAGGCTGGAGGGTTTTGAAAATTTCCATATTGGCCTTCTGTTTTCCAAGAAATTTCACATGGCTAAATGAGGAAAAGAGGAGTGGAAATAGGACAATGCAGAAACCGTTAATAACAATCAGTAATGGGCGTAAAGGTCCAGCAAACCCAGTTTGCAGAAAGATTCAGCCAAAGAGCGATGCTATTGCCACGAGCCCCACCAGAGCCCGAGCCTGGGGCTCTCCTGGGGCCCCAGTTCACCTGTCATGGGGAATGGTCTCATGCTGCTCCCCGCAAAGCTGGGGCAGCTGCAGGGCACTCCCGGGCTCCTCTCTTCACTCCCTTTGTCTCTCCACAGTTGATCTTGTGCCTCTGATGCATGCGGAAGCCGTTGCCGGCAGCGTGGTCCCGACTAACCGCACGGCGCCGAGGGCTGCGTCTAACTGCTGGGTTGGTACTCGCAGGGTGTCCCCCCCCCCCCCCCAGCCACGAGCTGAGCAGGCAGGAGCGGGCAGGAATGGGCAGGAACAGGCAGGAGCGGGCAGATGCAGGCAGGAGCAAGCAGATGCAGGCAGGAGCAGATAGATGCTGGCAGGAGCAGGCAGGAGCAAGCAGATGCAGGCAGGAGCGGGCAGGAGTGGGCAGGAGTGGGAAGGAGCAGGCAGGAGTGGGCAGGAGCGGGCAGTGGGCGGTGAAGGGTGGCTCTGCTGCCAGCTGAACCAGGGTGCTGCTGGAGCGCAGCCCGTGCTTTGCTTTCTGTCCGCCTGTCAGTCGGATAAACGTCCCCTGCCTCTACAGGACTGCAGCCGGGGTTACGGCTCCAGGATCTGGCCCGTCGGTGTGTGTTTGGCCCGCAGGCTGGCGGTCCCTGGTGCCACGGTCAGCAGCACAGCGGTGCTGTGGTGACCGGCGGGGCAGGACCAAGCCCTGCGTGCCAGGAGGAGAGGATGGTGGCCCCGTGCTGCTGGCCGGGGTGGGGGATGGCTCATGGGGACATCCTGGAGCATGGCTGTTGGGGGACACAGCGGGGGGGGGGGGGCTGCCTCTGCCAAGGCTCAGGGCGGCTCTGTGGACAGATCTGGGCAGCATCCAGCTCTGGCTGCTCTCTCTTGGCTTTGGCTTGTGCTCACTAGCCCCGTGGCCAGGACATCCCCAGATAACCCAGCATCTCTGGCCGGCTTCGGTCTCACCCCACAGCCCCTCTCCTGCCTGCCGCTGGAAGGCAGAGGTAGAGTGGGGTCCCCTGGGCAGCCGGGTTCACCCCAAGACTGTCCCACCTCCCCTTGGCATCTTCACCGACCGCAGCCTGGTCCTTCAGCTGGGGGGGGTCTTGCTGGGCTCTCACGCTGATGGGGGTCCCCTCTCCATCCAGCTCCACACTGCCCGACCTCCACCTTAACCCACTAACCACGCGCTTCCCTTTCCTCGGCACGGCTGGGACCAGGGGGGATTTTGGGCTGATACTCTTGTGTTTGATGGAAGAGGGAGGCAGGGCCCCGCTGGGGCTGGGGGGCAGAGGATGGAGCAGAGGTGTGGGCACAGGGACGAGGTGGGGCCAGGAGGACAAGCTGGGGTGGGCACAGGGCAGGCAGGTGCCCATCGGAGCAGGCAGGTTCAGGGCTCCCACACAGTTCAGGAGCACCACGAGCACTGGGAACCCTCCTATTACCAGGGGTTGCCCTCCCTGCCCCCACGAACCCCCCCCTTTCAAACTCCAGAGCCGCCCTCAGGCCAGCCCCATGGCCAGGGGGACCTCCCCCCAGGCTGGTCACTGAGGGGAGCGATGGGACCACAAGTCACCCAGATGGCCCAGAGGATGCACTGGGCAAGTGTGACCCCACACAGGCAGCAAGTGCTGCCCATGGACCCCTCGGTGGGGACAGGCCACCAGCACAGGGCCACCCCCTCTGAACCGGGGGATTGGCAGGGGGACAGAGGCTTCACAAAACAGCCAGTTTGCTCCTTTGCTCTGCCCCATCACTTCAGGGCTCCCTGACCCTGCTCCCCCATTTCCCATGGCTGGGAGAGGAGTCAGTCTGTCTGTCTGTCCGTCCCCCCTGGCTGGTGCCCCCAGAGCTGTCCAAAGAGGGGAGGTGGCAGTGCAAGCGGGGCGTGATGTGTAGATTCCCCCATTCCCAGCTGCAGCGATGGTGGGCGTGGGGCAGGGTCACCCCCGCAGCGACGTGGGCAGCATCGTCCTGCCCTGGGGTGCATCGTCCTGCCCAGGGCTCTGCCGGGACCCCACTGCCACCCCACGCCCGTGGGAGTGGGCACGGCCGCCGTGGGGCTGGGCGCTGGCGTGGGGCGAGGATGCTTAGGGGAAGGGGGTCCTGGGGCTGCCTCAGCGGTGCGAGCGGGAGTCCCGCCGGCTCCCCACGGTCCCTACTGCCTGTAATGTCAGCTGTGAACATGGCAAGTGTGCAAAGAGCCTGCGGTCTGGTGTCTTTGTGGGGTGTGGGGGGCTGGGGGGAGCCAGGCTAGGATGGGCTGGGGGTGTCCTGGCTTCCATGCGCAGCGTGCCGTGGGGCGCAGTGTGGGGTGCGTGGGGCCAGGCCAGGCGGTGAGCAGCCAGTGCCACTCAACGGGGTGTCAGGGCAGGAGGGGACGGAAATGCCACAGTCCCTGGGTGCCCAGCAAGGAGAAGGGGCTTCACCCCAGGACAGTGTGGGAGGGGGTGTCACCCCCCCCGGGCACTGCTGGAGGGTGGCTGTGACATGACCCAGCGCAGGCAGCGCTGGGTGTGGTGATGGAGCCGGCAGCAGATACTGTGCCCAAACTGGGGCCACACTGGGGACCCACCGCAGCGGGGACGTGCCTGGGGTCCCAGGGAGGGGAGGTGGAGGGAGCCACAGGCAGTGGGGCCAGGGTGGGCAGCAGCCAGGGGATGTAGGGGTACCTCTGTGGGGTTCAGGGGGGGCAGGCTTGGGGTGCAGGGTACTGCCGGCCCTGCTGGACCCTGCCCATGGGTGCTGGGCACCTGCTGGTACCAGCCCAGCCTGGGAGGATGGCGGCAGGTGGAGCTCGTGTTCCAGGAAAGCCCTGCCTGCACCCTTGCCTCCATCGCTGCCTGCATCCCTGCCTGCACCGCTGCCTGCATCCCTGCCTGCATCCCTGCCTCCATCGCTGCCCACATCCCTGCCTGCCCCCCTGCCCACACCCCTGCCCACAGCCCTGCGCAGGCAGCCAGCAGCGGAACGGAGGGCAGAGGGACCAGCTCCCCCCCCCAGGCAAAGAGGTGCCACTGACACCTGGGTGCTGCAGAGCACACCCCCCACCCTGCCCAGGCAAAGTGCTGCCCGGGGTGAAGCACGGTGACACGGCTGCTGCTGAGGAAAGGGTTTGGGCAGGGTGGCAGCTGAGTTGCCCGGGGGCACAACAGTCACACAGCGTGGGGACGTGGTGCTTGCCTGGCCCTCTCAGGGGGGCGGGGGGGCTGGGGAGCCCCTGGCTGTGGGGAGTGGGGGGCCCAGCTCCAGCCCCTGCCCGGCCATTCCCGGCGATGCGGGAAGGCAGCAGCCAAACCGCCGTGTTTATCTTCCCCCCCCCAGTAAGCAGCGTTTTGACATGTCACAGCAAGTCTCTGTCCAACACGTGTTGACACGTAACGTGTACTAGCCGGAGAGATGCTGTTCATTTGCTTCAAATCCCGAAAGAGGTTCCGCGAAATAGATACGTGGCATTTCTGCCAGCGGCGCGGGCGCCTCGGCCAGCGCGGGCAGGGACCCGCCGAGGGGAAGGGCTGGGAGCCCTGAGCACCACTGGTTGTCCCAAACGCCCCAGCGCTGGCCACGGAGCTGGGGGAGACAAACAGGGTGTCAGGGAGCAGCGCACGGTGAAACAGCCGCGTTCGGACCATTGGGAATGCGGGAGGATGCTGCTGCCACAGGGGGAGGCTGCGCCTGGCCCGCGCGTCACGGTGAGGATTGAAACGCGGCTGCACACGCAGCCTCTTGGCCTGACCCCATTAGGAAGGTGGAAGTAATGCTAATTAAAATCACGAAGTCCCAAACTGCTCTTTATCTCCTAGTTTATTCCTGGCCACTTCACATTTTCACAACTAATGCTCCACCAAGTTAATATGCAGAAAATGATAAAAAGATGGGCAGTGCAAATTGAAACCTGTTTCGGGAACTTTCTGGGTGCCTTTTAACAGCGTTTACACCCAGGGCTGTAGTGGTGCCAGCTGGGGACGCACATCTGCATCAGCTAATGCTCTGCCTCCTGCGTCACCCAACCTCATTTCTGAGGGAACCCTGCAGAGATTCATGCACCGCCGGGAGCTGTGCTCCAGCGTGAACCGTGCACCAGTGTGAGCCGTGCACCAGCATGAGCCGTGCACCAGTGTGAGCCATGCTCCAGTGTGAGCCGTGCTCCAGCGTGAGCCGTGCACCAGTGTCAGCCGTGCTCCAGTGTGAGCCGTGCACCAGCGTGAGCCGTGCACCAGTGTGAGCAGTGCTCCAGCGTGAGCCGTGCTCCAGTGTGAGCTGTGCTCCAGTGTGAGCCGTGCTCCAGCGTGAGCCGTGCACCAGTGTCAGCCGTGCACCAGCGTGAGCCGTGCACCAGTGTGAGCCGTGCTCCAGTGTGAGCTGTGCACCAGTGTGAGCTGTGCTCCAGTGTGAGCCGTGCTCCAGTGTGAGCTGTGCTCCAGTGTGAGCCGTGCTCCAGCGTGAGCCGTGCACCAGTGTCAGCCGTGCACCAGCGTGAGCCGTGCACCAGCGTGAGCCGTGCTCCAGTGTGAGCTGTGCACCAGTGTGAGCTGTGCTCCAGTGTGAGCCGTGCTCCAGTGTGAGCTGTGCTCCAGTGTGAGCTGTGCTCCAGTGTGAGCCGTGCACCAGCGTGAGCCGTGCACCAGTGTGAGCTGTGCACCAGTGTGAGCTGTGCACCAGTGTGAGCCATGCACCAGTGTGAGCCGTGCTCCAGTGTGAGCTGTGCCCTGTCTGGAGCTGTGCCTGGAACTGCCGGATCACTCTGCTTGCCATCCTGGGGGGATCTGCACTGCAATACCCCTGGAAACCAGGGGAAAGCAGGGAAGGGCCAATGCACCTTAAATGGGAAAACTGTTGTTACCTGCAGGCATCAGCCCGCTGCTGCACAGCACGGTGCAGGCAGCGCCGCGCAGGCAGAGCTGGCATCTCCCTGTGGGGAGGGTTTAAGCGGGTGCCTCGCTGTCCCAGGTGGTCAGCACGGCTGCTCGCCTCCGGGTGAGGAAGATCTTCCTTCCACGAGAGCCGTGCGGAGCGGCTGGAACCCACTTGTTTCCCAGATGGTTCTGACGGTTCCGTATCTTGCAGCAAACAGAGCCAAAAGCCACTCAAGGAAAAATGAGTAAAGCCGAAGCTTAAGACAGGAGATCCTGGCACATCTTGAAGCAATCAAAATACCGGTTACGAACTTCCACGCGTGCAAAGCCACCGTCCTTTCTTTCCCCCCTTTGCAGACCAAGGCAGTGGCTGCGACTTGGTTGGGCACCAGGATAAATATTTAAGTCCTGCCTGGAGCAAAGCGCATGGGTGAGCATCACCCCGCGGCACCCCGAGGGGACTCGCCTTCGCGGACGGCGGGGATGGTTCCTGGGGGAAAGCCCAGCCGGTGATCCGTGCTGTGGCAGGTCAGCCTGGCTAATCCCGCGTGAGAAGCCCACTGGAGAAAAACCCCGGGAGGGCTGGGGAAGGGCTCGGGGGGATTTCTGGTGCCCAGGCTGGGTCTGCCTTGCAGTGGGGTGCCCTGACCCACTCCTTGGGGCACGGTGCCTTCGGGAGCAGCTGCAGCAGCTCCGGCTGCCCGCGCTCGAGCTCTCCCCTCTGCCCAGAGCCGCGCCTGGCCCGCGCTGCTGCGCGCTCTCATTAATACGCGGGATTGTAAGGCGATCCATAATTAGATGCTAACTGAGTTTTCTCTAAGTTGGGCGAGGGAAGGTCACCAAGGTAGGACTGGAGTCAGCTTATTGTTATTATCAATCAATAACCTATTTATTTTCCAACATTCCTATTAACCTCTGCAAGCCACTCGCCGTTTCCATCTGAAAGGACTGTGCAGCTGCTTTGCTGACTGGACAACTCTGATTGAAAACGTAACAGTGACCCGACCCCAAAGGCAGAATCCAATTAAAATCATTTTCATTTGTAGATTAATATTTTTTAACATGTTCTACACTCCTTGCTTCAGCATTTCACACAGGAACTGCTGCCTCATTACACAAGCAGCCCATATCGATAGTGCCATAAGAAAATAATTATGATTAATTAGACACAGAGACAATAGGACCATCTTTTTATGAGGAGTGAGGGACAGTGCTCAGCTGCGACGTGGTGGCGGTGGTGGCCGGGATGCTCGTGGCTGGTGGGACGGGGCTGCCGTGCTCTGGGGGGGGGGGGGGGGGGGGGAGAGGGACAGGGACCTCTCAGCGCTTGGCTCCTCGTCCCGCTCTAAAAGCATCAGCCCCAGGGAGGGGGGGTGAAGGCTACCGGTGGTCCGGCCTGTGCTGATGGAAGAGACCAGATGCCCTGGTGATGGGCACATCACAGTGTGCTGGGTCCTGTCCTCGGCCACACACAGAGCCCGGTGCTGAGCGCTGCTGGGGGATGCAGGGACCCACAGTAATTGGCTGATGAAGCTTGGCCTTAATGTAAAGTCTATTATTAATAACGTGACTTTGATAATAAAAAGATTAAAATTAAGTTTATGGTTTGCTGACTGCCCTTTCCACACTGTAATCATCTCTCATTCATATTCATGAACCACTCATTAGTAACCACTGCTTACAAGCTAAACAGCCAAACCATTCAGCAGCCACCATCTCCTTAACTGCTTAACTTGCTCACTGATTACCAACATCAAATTAACTCTGCAGAACGGATCTAATAAGCTTCCCGGTGGCTTCAAACCTCCTTGAAAATTGCTCTGATGTCTCCATGGGGCCCTATTAAAAAAAAAAAAAAAAAAAAAAAAAAAGCCTTCCCTTGCGAATATTGCGCTCTTGTGCGGGTAATGCATCGGCTGCGGCTGCAGCACGGCCACCGGTGCCCACGGGCTGCAGCGCCGAGGGTGCACCCCGCAGCGTACCCCGCACTGCCCCCCGCAGTGCACCCCACACTGCCCCCCACACTGCACCCCGCACTGCCGTCCCCGGGGCAGCCCCGGCGCCCTGGCTGCGTGTCTTTGCAGCGCTATCGGCTGTTTGAAGTGAGGTGCTGGTTTTCCTGGCAGCCCCCCCCCCTCCGCTGCCTCCGCTTTGCTTTTCCCAAATCTGCCCACCTAGGAACCGGGAGTTTCTCTCTCAGCAGCCGCTGAAGCCCCGGTCGGGGGGAGCTGTGGGGCTCCCACCCTCCCCTCGCCCTGGGAAGAGCCTCCGCAGCATCAGCCCAGCCCCGGAGCAGCCTCACGCATCCAGCCCCCTTCCTTCATTAAACCCTTCCGAGACTTAATTT